CGTCGTCGGCTCTCAGCTGACGGGAGGCCGGCAGAGACGTGGGTGGCAACGGAGAAGAGGGGAGGCGAGGGCTCCCAACGAGTCGAAGCCTTAGAAAAGGTCAGCGAATGCCACAAGATGAAGAAACAAAAGTCGTCCGAAAGCGTTCGCTGAAAACAAATGACCTATTAGCGTCATTTACGTTCTTAATGTGTAATGTCTTGATGCCACCTACTGGTAAGGTAATCAAAAATGAATGTGCGTATCGAAGTTAGAGCTTGGCCCGGTAGTGAATAAATTAGCTCAGTGTGACCACGGCAGATCTACCAACAGCATGAACTTCGACAACGCCACCTTGGGAGTTTCACCCAAGGAATTAAAGTGCAACGTACACTAACGTTAAGCGCTACACAAGTTCGGTTGTAAGAAAAGGGGAGGAGACGTGCTTAGCAAGATACATTTCTTTTTAATTAAAGCTCGACCAATGATTCAGACTAGGCAGGTTAAAATAGACAGATCATAATTTTGAGTTAAAATCTTCATCCAACCTGGATAGACAGCCAATCAGTGGGGGGGTCCCGGTGTCCCCAAGACTAAAATTTCACTCATTAAACACTAATTGAGTTAAAAGCACGCTGCAAACCACACAAAATAGCATGCAGCGAATGAGGGGGACAAAGTGAATGGATGGAAGACAAAATAAAAGAATTCTAAAACAAGAAAAAAGGGGCAAAGGGTGCATTTGCTTTCAAATAAAATAAAACAGTTGGCCTCCGCAATAAACCCATAAATGAAATATACATGATTAAAATACATGATTGTTTCACCTCAACTTTCAAGGGCTATGGGAGAGCATAGCTGCAGGAGATACAAAATGGCAGTCAGGGTACGTGCAGGTCGCAGGTAAGGTGGTTTGGTCCTACTTCCTGAGTTGTGAGGCAGTGAGGCGGGTGCTTTCCTCAGACAAGCCAGTGAATAGTGAGAGAGAGAGAAAGGTGACCACCAACCTTAATATGAGGGAGGAGAAGGTAATCAGCAATTAGTTGCACCTGCGTGAAAGGGGCGGAGTCACAAACACCTGAGTGGAGGCACGCCTCCCTGTGACAACCGGTTAGCGAAACTGTGCGTTTAGCACCTTAGCATCACTTTTCTTTTTTTTTTTTTTTTTTGGCATAAGCCAAAACAACAAGACCAAAATATTTATGGAATAGTAACTCCAAAAGCGTTTAAAAACTCAATTCAACTGTATTTATAGAGCACTTTAAAACAACCACAGCTATATGTAAACTGCTGTACATGGAGCAAAAATAATTCATACAACAAACAATAAAACAATAAATTAATAACAAAGACAGTAGAAAGGAGAAAAACAGCAAATTCAGGGGGAGAGGACCTTGAAAAGAATAATCGCATGTTAAATCGCAATTGCGATGTTGAGGGGGAAAAAAAAAGAATCAAAATTTAAAAAAATTACATAATCGTTCAGTCTTGCTCCCAGCTGTATGTTCATTGTTGTAATAAACAGAGTTCCATAATATGCTAATGAGAATTACAAATACGCAATACGAAAAGGCCTTCTCAACTTTCACAGAAATTGAAAAGAATAATCGCATGTTAAATCGCAGGCGCGCACAACTCTCGAGGTTAAACCCGAACGGAGGAGCTAAGCAGCTTACAGACAAAAGCACGAAGGCTAGTGCGGTAATCCCCACCAAAAATTGATTCTTGTGTACATACAGCAATACTTCCAGTGTTTGGAATGTGAGAACTAGCCTGGCATCTGATAAAGCTCAAAGCTGAGCATAAAGTGAAACGTCTCAACTGTTTTTAGTTTACTTTTAAAATGAACTTTGATGGACTGGACTTTTCGTTCCGTGTGAGGTTGCAACATTGGCACACCTGCAGCAGTGAACTGGGGTGACTCGAGCTCATCATCATCATCTCTCTGTTATGTTGATCATGTGAACACTTTGCTACTTCTTCAGTCTTTCCATTTGGGCCATTTAAGATCCTTATATTTCAAATGTGCAGCTCTAAAATACTGATATTAATTCCAAGGATTATGCACATTAATTCTGGTTTCTGGCAGCGTCTTTTCAGCTTTAAAAGAATTCAATGTACTGTGATCCTATTTTGTGCCAGGAAACACTTAAAGTACTCCAAGTCCCAGGAACCTCGGCTAACGAGTGACCCAAAACTTGGCCATCCCCCGTTTGAAGCTGTTTATTGCTCTCCCATTTGAGTTAAATTTAAAGCGGACTAGACGTGTATTTAATCACGTAACTTTGTTTTATAAAATTATGTTGGCATAATGCTGACACATAATGCTAAATTAATATTACTGCAGGAGAGAGAGAGGGGTGTGTGTGAGTGTGTGTGTGTGTGTGTGTGTATATACAGTACTACTGTATTTAAAAATACTGTACTAAAGTGCATGTTGCAACTCCACCAATGGTCACACGGTGGCGGACTACAGCCACAAATCTGAGCACCAGCGCTCGTTATTGAACACTTAACAGCAGATTAAGTTAAAAAAAAAAAAAAGGAGGTACATCTCCGACAGTGAAACATTCGGGTTGTGTAATTAATTTAATTCATATAATAATTATGAGTTAATTTAATTGTTAACATTTTCTTCTATTATTCCAGTCAATAGATATGTTTAATAAATAAGAATAAGAATAATATATAAATCAATAAAATCGCAATTTTCGCTTTAAACGTGAAAGCACGAAATGTGAAATCACCAGACTGTTCTGTTTTAGACTCGTGAGATTGTCGATACTGGCCACTTGGGGGTCAGTACGTGAGAACCGGACGAGTGGTGTCTCCTTTCTGCTCCTATCCCCGCCCCCTGGCCCAGAGAGACCTTACCCCCATGTCCCGTCCAACCCGCCCCGCCTCAGAAGCGCACTTTGTCGCGCACTGCGCTGAACTACTCTGTGCTCATTCCGCGCCGTTTCGCCTCCAAATCCGCCTTCACGCACTTTTTTTGTGTGCGTGGGTTCCCATACGATGTTGGATTAACTCCTTGTAATTTAGGAGGGCTATTGAGAGAACATGGTCGACCTGCGGCACGTCAACTGACTGCACGTTTCTGCTTCAGGTGAATATGAAACTTTCAAATAAATGATTGCGTGTATAGAGTTGCATTTTCAGTTTTGCAGGGTTTACTTCTGAGGTGATAAAGACTAGCGTTGTTCTCGTTTATTATAGTACAAATTGAGAAATAGGGTTTGTGTTTGAGTTACAGTGGTCACTTATACACTATACCCCAGACTGCTAATTAAAGACTTCATGTACCTGTTTGAAGGTTTTACACTGTTGACCTACAGTGTTTACGTACTGTATGTGCATTCCATCGGAGTCAAAATTTTCCACATTGTACCATATGGCCTTGTATTGTTGTTTGGTACACATCATATCAATAAACACAATTCTGATGTTCAAAGTTACAAAAGCCCATCCCACTGACAGGAGTCTGCACCCCCAATAAAATGACAATGATGTACTTGTGTCTGCCAATTATTTACAGTTGTGATTGACAACATTTCACCCCACCGAAGCGTGACAAAAATCGGCGAACCGCATATTATTGCCAAGTTTAAAACACCGCCCCTTTCTAGATCCTATTGGTTTTAGTTACAAGTTCCATCGGTTAATAAGTAAACGATAGGAATCTGGACCTGCACTGCTATTCTCTTCTTTGTTTGCCCTAAGGGTTGAGCTGGGCTCTCCGCAGAGCGGTGGTGTTTGCACCGCGGGTTTCCGGCTGTGACGCAGATAGAGAAGAGGACACCCGCGGACCATGGATTTCGGCAATGACGTGGACCTGTCCAACAACAACATTATGCCCCTGTGGAAGCGCCGTACGGACAACCACAGAAGCCCGCCGGACTCGAGGAAGCCGCGGCCGTGTAGTTACCACGCCAACGGGGTCACGATGACGGATTTCCCAGCCGAGGACAAGTGCGCTTTCACCTTGAGCCAGCCGGCTGAGAAACTGGTGGTTACATCTCAGTGTGTGGGCAAGAACACGGCGGTGCTGAAGCATGTTTTACACAAACCTTCCAAAAAGTCCAGAGTTGTTCGGAGTATTAGTATTGGGCACATCTCCAATGGACGCTTCTCTTTGTCTAAGTTCAAGTCAGATGGCAGCAGAACGACCTCGTTGGACCACAAAGCGAGTAACGGAATGTACAACACAGTAAATCATAGCAATGGACGAACAATTTGTCCCTCTCCTCAAGCATTCATTTCCAGTGTGTTTAGCCTGAACTTGCCAAAAGAGAAGACCCCGTCCTATCATAACCTATCCTCACCTGAAACGGTTCAACACGCCTCGAACAATAACCACCTCGAACGGTCCTCATCACCGTCCAGCCCGTATCCTCCCGCCAGACGGACTCCTTCTCACAGCTCCACTTCGAGCATCCCCTCCCTCTCCTCCCTCACCTCCTCGGACCCCCCAACACCACGCTCCTCCTCGCCGACCGAGAGTCGGCCC